CCACGTTGCCGCGTGCAGCTGTTCATTCCCTTCAGAGAACTCTCCCACCACCGGCCGACCTCCCTTCGCTACAGCCCCCTGCCAGGGCACCGCCCGTCAGCCTTGGGGACCCCCGGGTAAGTGTGTTTCTTGGGGGGAGGAGCAGGCTATGGGGCAGGACATGGTGCTGGGCTCTTTTAGTTTGCCGAGCACAGCACCTGATCCAATGGGGTTTTAATTTCTCCCTCCCCACCAAGGGGCACGTAAAACCTGACTGGGGGTGCTCAGGCATCACTCAGCCCCTCCAGGAGGCAGTTGTGGGGTCACCTCGCCCTGTAACAGCCCCACAGAGGATATAAGCACTAACCCAAGGGCAGCCAGCAGAGATTCTCCTTTAGCACAGTTGGCAGGGGCCTATGAGTCAGAGCAGCAGGTCTGGGGATCGATTCCCTGCCCATACAGCCCGGGCACCGCGGTAGTTACTTAGCGCTACAGTAACCTCAAGGTAGCACTCACGCAATCTCCCGCTCCCGTAGCTTCTTCACCGCAGCCTTCTTGGACAGGCTGATCTCCAAGTCGAGCTTCCTTAAGAAATCCGTGGCCGAGAGGTCGTGGCGGGGGGTGGTGCCTGTGCTGGTCATGGAGCCGTTTTTCAGCACCGGCTTCTCCTCTCCCGTGGGGGGCCGCCTGGCTCCTTCCTCCGCCTCCTCTTCCTCTTCCTCCAGGTTTAAGCCATTCGCCATCTGCTTGGGCTCCACCAGGACGGGGATGTGCAGTGTCGTCTTGAGGAAGATGGAGTCACTGGTGTACAGCCGGTTCACCCGCTTGATCTGCTCCATCTGGGAAGAGACCACAAGCACCTGTAACCCCTCCAGGCCCGGGACACACGTTACCAACCCCCGTCTCTATACACCAAGAGAACTGCCGCCTCTGATCTGGGGCTTGTTCCCTAAAGCTCCACTGCAGGCTGGACACCTAATATCACGGCGCCACCGAAATGCAGCCACCTCTGGGGTGGAGGACACCAGTAGGCAAATAGAGCAATGAGGGCAAGCGTGTGCATGACGTCATCTGGGCTGCGGGTGCCGGGCTCACGCTGGCAGGGAGAAGGGTTCGGGCGTTGCTGGAACTTGAATGCCGGTGGGGGGGAAGGGGAGGGAAACTGACCAAGCCCCTGGAGGATGATGTTCAATGCAGCCAGGCAAGGACTGTGCTGTCCCACTGGCCGGGAGAGAGACATGCCATTGTTAAGTGTGCTAGCTGGTCCACCCCGCCTGTCTCCTATGCTCAGCCAGAGGTGGATGAAGGAGACAGGCTGGGAGTCCATCACCATGGCACATGCCGCGACTCCGGCCCACAGCCTGAAAGACCCTCCCTTCTGCACGACTGGCGGCTTGTTGGGTTCCTGCAAAATGAGCTGGCCCCCCTGGCTGGCAGCTCCCCGCTTTCCCGGCTGCTCCAGCTGCAGGGCAGGAGCACACCAGCAGGGGGCAGCATGCATGTGTCATAGGGAAGACTGAACTGGTGCTGTCAGGCTGCAGGGCCTGTCAAGATTCAAACTGCCAGAGACACTCAACAGCCGCTTGCTGCCTAACCACATATGCAGGCCCAGGCCGGAGGTGATACCGGGGCAGGCTTTGGCTCCAACCACCAGGGGGATTTCTGCAGCAGAAACTGATCCCCCGTGAGAGCCACGGGAACAGAAAGCTGCAAAAACAGGAAATGAGAAAGGGCGTGACTGTATGTGCACATTTCCAGGGTCACATCAGCCTCACAGGGAGGCAGCCGCACACACGGGGGACCGAGAGGAGACGGCAAGTGCCGGGTCAGAGCCCTCAGCCCTGGTCCTGCATGAGACTCCAGACATTCAGCCTCCCCATGCACCCACCCATACCCCCACAGCCCAGGAACACCAGTGGGGTGCCCGCTCAGATTCCATGATCAGAGTGCTGGATTGTAGAGTCCTAGGGGCAGAGACCGTGTCTTTGATTTCGCAGCCAAGCCCCTGGCTCTGCTCCAGAGCTGTATCAATTCTTAGGATTCATTATGTGTATTGCAGTAGCCTCAGCCAAGAACCAGGAGTCCCCACTCTAGGGGGATCAGAGGTGTCTGGACTCTGGAGGCGTGACTCCTGCCAGTGCCCCTTTTCTTAGGGGTGCTCATGACACGACCCTCCCTGCTTCACCCCAGATGCTCGGCAAACAAAACCAAAAAGCGGTAACGCTAAGTGCTTCGGCAGAGTTCCTCGTCCGAGACACACCAAGCACTGTACAAAATGTAGGGTGACCAGACAGCAAGTGTGAAAAATCAGGACGGGGGGTGGGGGGTAATAGGAGCCTATATATGAAAAAGACCTAAAAATCAGAACTGTCCCTATAAAATCGGGATCTGGTCACCCTAATTGTGGGGTGGAAATCAATCCGGACCCAAGCTGCAGATTCAGGGCCGACAAGGGGAAGAAGGGAAGCCAGGGGAAGGATTCACTCTTCAGCTATAATTGCTTGTTTTGCACATTTCTTGAGGGGATCACTTAAGAGCGTCCTCAGGAGGGCTTGGAATTGGAGAGCTGGTGGATTGGGGAGCATTCACCAGTCCTATCAGATAGCGAGTGCTTTACCAAAGATAGGTCAATAGCTTGTTTTTTGTAATAGAGAAACTGAGGCCCAGAGTGGGGACTAGAACCCAGGCAGGCTGGATAAAAATCATTTTTTTTTAAAATCAAAAAGATTGGATTTTTTTTTTATTTAAATCGGATTTTTTTTGTATAAAATGCTTTGAGGAAAAAACCTGTTAAGATACATTATAGCTCAAAGGTATCTCATCATGGAATATGGATTATAAATTCTAATTCTATAGTATGAGACAATATATTCATGTCATGTTTAAGAAAAGTTTTGTAAATGAGTTCCAATAGTTCATGGATTAGAAACCCAATCTGATGGGATTCCAGGGGCTTCTGTATAGATTATTTAGGTTAATCTTTCTATCTACCCAATGGGACTCAGTGCTCAGTCTAAAAGATACCCTCAGAGATGCTTAGTTTTGCAGTTCTTAAACTGTGGATTTGTCTCCCCAGAGGTAACATGCTTGTTAACAGCAAAAAAAATTTTAAATAAATAAATAATATATAGAGGTGAGAAATAACAGACCTCAACCCTATTGTCCCTCTGCAAATTTGTCAATCCCTTATCTCTCTCTAAAAGTACAAAGTTTCAAAAAGTTCAATGAATAGAAGATTGTTGGGGGCGGAATAGATCTGGACAAGGAGAAGAAGTATGGAGATAAATATGAGACAGGAGGGACAGGCAGTATAAATAAAAGTGAAACTGTTTGAGCCGCATATTCCAGAAGCCTTGAGGTCTTTCTGAGTGTAGCCTTCATTGATTTGAGATCTACCATACCATTCTCTCACTAGAAGGGAAAACCTATAATGACAGAAGGCCTAAAAGAAACCAGTTTGGGAATAAGAACCATTCAAGAAATATGTTTGCTGATGACGTTTTAAAGAAAGTCACACCAGTGAACTGGTGGAAGTCGCTTAAGCACTTGGATTCAGAGACTGACGGTGTAGAAAGAATATTTTCTTCCTTTGGACTAATTCATTCCAAATTGAGAAATTGTTTGGTACCTGAAAAAGCAGGAAAGCTTGTTTTTCTTTTCCAGGTTATGAACAAACAGGAAAATGAAGGTGAAGACAACTGAGTTAGCTGCAGAAGCCAAAATTTTAAGTTTCTCATGTTGACCTGGCTGACACAGTCGATTTAATTTTTGGTTTTGGGGTTTTTTTTTAATATTTCATTTATCTATTTTAATTAAAAACAATTTTAACAAAAACAAACCTAATTTTAAAAAAACTTGAATGTTTAACTAAATTCAAAAACTCATATGCTTGTTTTGTTAAAATATTATGTTTGCTATTGAAGAAAACAATCCAGAATACATAACATTGTTTTAAAGTTAAATAAAATAATTTAAATGTCTGTCTGGTGATGTTCTCCTCCTAATACAGCATGGCAAGAAAATCCTCCAAATATTAAAGATTAACCTGTTGCACTGGAGATAGTTCACCTCCTAATGACTTCACAAATATCTGCTTCGGTTACCTTTGGTAAATGAAATAACCAAACAGTCATTCATTCTCTGACATAGCTGTAAAACTCATCTGAAAAGTTTTTTAAATAAATCACTTTAAAAATGTATAGTGTGTACCTTCTAAAAATGAAACCTACATCCATCTTGGAGTTGTGAAGAATAGGTCTTAAGGTTATAACAACCAACAAGAATGCACTTTTATGTAGAAATCCATGATTAAATCAAGTCTTCCTGACTAGTGATTTAAATAATGATAAAAGAACAGGAGTACTTGTGGCACCTTAGAGACTAACAAATTTATTTGAGCATAAGCTTTCGTGGGCTACAGCCCACTTCTTCGAAAGCTTATGCTCAAATAAATTTGTTAGCCTCTAGGGTGCCACAAGTACTCCTGTTCTTTTTGCAGATACAGACTAACACAGCTGCTACTCTGAAACCTTAAATAATGATTTAAATCAATTTAATTTAAATCAAATCCACCCTGAACCCAGGAGACCTGGCTTCCAGGTCCCTGCTCCATCCATAAGACCCCAGTCCCCTGTCAGAGCTAGGAAGAGAAGCCAGGAGTCTGGTACGCTGTCCCCTGCTCTAACCGTGGGACCTCACTGGGTCCCTCCTGCCAGGTTACCTACACCCCCCCAGATCGCAATAGAAAGCTGCCGCGCAGACCTACCGTGACCCCATACTTGAGCGCCAGCCCCTGCAAGGTGTCCCCCGGCTCCAGGCGATGTTCCACCCTCCTCTCCCTCACCGGGGAGCACATTGACTTGACGAGGCTGCCGTAGGACCGGGTCTTGCTGCCGCAGAGCAGCCCAGCCCCTCCAGGGGACCCCTGCCTGGATGGGGAGGCCATCCCTCCCCCCCAGTCAGTGGGGCACCAGTGCGGGCAGCAGAGGTGCCTGGGCTCTGGAGGGGCTTTCCTGAGGGGTGCTCATGGCAGGACCCCCCTCGGGCAGAGTAAACAATGCGCCTCCCAGCCAGGCCAGGGCTCCCCCACACTGAGCCCCCCACAAAGGTCTCTCTGCTTTCCTGCTTGTTCTCCACTCCCCTCAGCCTTTACTCCAGGGCACAGGCAGGGGGCCCCCCAATTTCCTCCCCACGCAGCAAAACCCACTCTGCACGGGTGGGGGAGGGGATGGAAGGGGGGTCCCCCAATTTCCTGCTCACCCCTTACGCCAGAGAGGGATACAGGGGGGTCTCCTCAATCTTCTCTGTCCCCTCCCCAGCTCCTTCTTTACTCGGGGGAAGGGGCAATTTCCCCCCTCCCCAGGAACCCCGCCGCTCCCACGGCCCCAGCCACCCTCCAGCAGCCTCTCCCCTGCAGAGCAGCCAGTGTCCGCAACACGCAGCCAGTTGCGTCGCTCAGCCGGCCCCGAACAGCTGAGCAGAGCGGCGCCAGCCCCCTTCCTTCCCACCCCGCGCAAAGGCCTCTGGGACATGTAGTCTCTCCCTGGCAAGTTGCCTGCCCCGCAGGATTCCTAGTAGCTCCCCCCACCCCATAACCATGCTCCGCCTCTCTGGGGCCAAAGAGGTGGCACAGCGGGGAACATTCCGCCCAGCCCAGCCACAAGCCTCGCCTAGGGGGAGAGGGGCCAGGATCCGGGACTACATTTCCCATCATGCCCCGCCTCCGCTAATCGTCTCAATGCATCATGGGAGTTTTAGCCCAAGGGGGCTATCTGCGCGGAACGCCCAGAGGCATGCTGGGAAGGGTAGTCCGGGAAGAGAACCAAACCGGAAGTGCTGTGTGGCCTCAGTTCCCATGGTTACCGCGGCCGGGGGTCGCGAAGCGCCGCCATGTCCTTCAAGCGGGAGGGGGATGACTCGGGCCAGCTGAACGTGCTGCAGGTGAGCGGCCGGGGCGGGCCGGGCTGGGCTGAGCAGTGGGGTCGGACACCCCGGCTCCGCAGGGCTGCCCTGGGCCCGGAGCGCTTCCGGTGCCCAGAGCGACGCCCCCCGACTCCCCCCATCCCCAGAGTGACCCCCTGACTCCTCCTCAGTCCCCTCACAACCCCCCTGGTCCCCACCCCCCTGCTCCCCCCCATCCCCAGAGCGATCCTGCCTGACTCCCCCTACCCCCATCCCCAGAGTGACCCCCCCGACTCCTCCTCAGTCCCCCCCACAACCCTAAAATATTATGTTTGCTATTGAAGAAAACAATCCAGAATACATAACATTGTTTTAAAGTTAAATAAAATAATTTAAATGTCTGTCTGGTGATGTTCTCCTCCTAATACAGCATGGCAAGAAAATCCTCCAAATATTAAAGATTAACCTGTTGCACTGGAGAT